CATTCAATTTAGCTTAAAAAATAAGAAAAAGAAGCCAAAAATAACTTTAAAAAAAAACTTTTTATTTTTTAGACAAGATTAAGAGGAATTAATTATCCCAATAATCACAAACTTAGGTTGGTATTTTCGATTGCTCACTACCATTTCAAATATCAAGTTTTGGCTACTAAACTTTTGAAAATGTTGAACGTTACTTCCTGGGATGACTTCCGTTTTGCAAATCACGAAGAAAGACATCTTTGATTGCTCATTGTCTTTGACTGATCACTGTACTTTGCTAGATGTCCTTGATTATTCACTATTATTTAAATTGATCAAATTTTGGCTACTAAACTTCTTAAACTAACTTCTAGATGATATGAAAATTTAGCAATTATCATGGACTCTTCAACAATACGCATACTTTATGATTTGAATTAATAGTTTACATACTAAACTATAAACCATTCTCTCTCTTATAAAAAATAAGTTGAATCATTCAAGTAATTGTAGTCATATATTCATAAAGCATGCATATTGTTGAAGAGCCCATAATAATCCATAAATTTCCATAACATCTTGACGTGAATTTGAAAAGTTCAATGACTAAAACTCAATCAACTAAAATTATAATAAGCAATCAAAGACATTTGTCAAAATAAAATGAGCAATCAAAAACATCTTTTGTGATTAAACATCAACTATGCAAACGTCAACTATTCGTTACAAATGCAAAATGNAATTCAGATGTTAACTTTGACACAATTCAATTTTCAAGTGTCAAGTTTCAAAATGCAAAACTCAAGTATTTAATTATTAATTAAAAATATTTTTATTAATTAATTATTAAAAAAAATTATTAAATATTTAATTCTAATATAATATAATTAACTTACCCCACTTCCACCACCCATACCATTCCGAGGACTATTCTGGCGATCGTTCCAGCCACCACTCTTCTCCGACTACCGTTCCGACGACTGTTCCAATTCTGGTAATTATTTCGATGACCGTTCCGATTCCGACAATTTATACGTCACAGATTATTTTACGGTTTAAAATTTATAGGTCACACAATCACAGATTTCCAAATTAGTTGGTCATGTATTTTTTCACGGTCACAAATTATATAATTTTTAGGTTACAGATAACAAAATGGTTGGTAACAAATTATAGAATTTTAAGGTCACGGATTATATTTTTAGTCACAAAAAATCAAAATCACCAGATCCTCCATCTGCACCACCGTCGACTTTTAATGGTTCACCACCACCTCACCGTCGCCGTCGCCGTCGCCGCCACCACCACCATTAACAATTGTAAACACCCAGAGCAGTACCCCCCTAGTCCAATCCAGAGTCACCACTGCCAACACGAACACGCCACTACCATCACCACCACCGCACGCCCTACCTAGATCCACCGCATCACCATCACCACACAACCTCACCAATACCACCCAAATCACCACTGCCAACAACCACCACCGCCCTCACCAACACGGCAACACCATCACCACTGCCAACAACAACTACCGTCGTCCTACTTAGATCCACCGCACCACCATCACCACACCGTTAACCCACAACCACACCTGTACGACCCACACCCACCACCACTGCGACTGAACGCCGTGCAGCGATTAGGATCTGAGCGAGCAAGTGCACAGTTCACCGCATCGACGCTCAGATCAAAGAACCCATACCTGTGGACCTTTCCTGCAGCGACGGAATCGCCGGAGGACTTCTTATGGAATCAGCCCCCGATGGAATCAACCCCCAATTCACCTCTTCGACCAAGCTGTGGATAGCAGAATCGTCGAAGGACTTCTTGTAGACGACACCATTCTTGCAGCGACTCCGTCTAGGGAAAGTATAGAAAAAAGGGAGAGAATAGAGACAGAGAAGCTCGAGAATTATTAGGGTAAAATATTTAATGTTTAATTATTATATTGATACCTGATTTATGAATTATGAAACTTCAACCCTAATTTTTGAATTGTAATCTTTAAACAATTGGAATTATGTAATTTCCTTTAAAAAAAAAAGTGCCACATGTATGCCACTTAAGACAATTACAATAGTTAGAGACTACAAAAAGCATTATTCAAGAAATAAATATATGCTATTTCTTGAATTAACTTTCACATTCCCAATACTTCATAATAAAAGCAAAGTAAAATAATGGAGGAAAAATCTATTTGTACAATCATTAAGAGATTGTAAAAATTACAAGGATCATGCTACTTGTACATTT